GCTATATAAACAGAAGAAACAAGGATGCATGTGAACATTCTCATATGATGCTCTATATAACATATAGGCAATAATAAGGTTTATTCATATTTTGAAGTCACATGTTCTGAAATCACAAACCACCATGTAGTGGGTACTTGATATCAATTAGTTTACTGTATGTGTGCTAATTAAAGACCACAAGGCCTGTGTTCTGCACTATTGTGCTTTCTGTCACATTATTATGTGTCTTTTTAACTGAAGATTTTGCAGTGGTGTCTTGCTTGAAGTCACAAGGTGATGGTTCCCAGGCTCATCAGTTGACGTGTGGCTTGCTAGACTGGTTTCAGTGGAGTAAGGGTAGGTTACTTTGAAATATTCTGGTAAATTGAATTATTCCAAGTAACATACTCAACTAAGTTTGAATCTATTCTCAGTATTCATGTTGTTGTTCTTTTTATAGTTTGTTTTCTGTTCTGTTTTTTTAGAGAACGTGTGCATCTCTGAATATGAATGCTGTCCTTCTGCATATAAAGGAGAAGTTTTCCTGTCCTTGGTGATGACCAAGTAATCTGAGGGATCAAAATATACTTCCCTAAAGTGCCAGATGAATAAATGACCAAATGTTTCTATGATGTTAACTTGGTCTCCACCCTCTCAATCATATTCTGAAGGAGATGAAATTGCATTTGTCTCTTTGGCAGCAGTGAACAAGCAGGTGGTTCAGAAATCCTCACACTTTTGTGGGAAAGACTGAAATATCCTTCAGAGATGACTTCATCACAGACAGCGCAGGGTTTTAACAGACATCAGCTTTTTCTCCATATTTTCTTCACTTTTGTGATTTTGCTTTAGTCAGTGATTGACTTACGAGCTAACAGAATCCTTCAAAAGACCAAGTCTTCCCTTAATCCCAGGGTAAAGTTCCTGAATAGTTAAGAACTTGCAGTTTCTTAAAAAAATTTGTTACTAAGCAAGGAGTTAATTCTTTCTGTTTTTGAACATCCCTTAAAAGGCTGTGGCAATGCTTTTGATTTGCTGAAATTAGTAGGACTCCTACCAACAGACTGACTTTTAAAAGGAGTTGAGATGCAGTTGCTCAGCATGCCAGTGTAATGGGAGCATGTAAAGCACATGATGTCTTTTGAAAAGAGGTCTGCAATCCTCTGCCCATCACTACAGGTTTGGGGCAAGGAAAAAGGTGATGTCACCTTTGTTATTATACAGGGTTACAGGTAATTTCTTCCTTTCCTGTGTAGCAAAATCACATTTGAAGCATCATGTTCAGCTTAGTGCCACACATACATGCCTCAGGAGGAATTAATCTCCTGTACCTATTCTTTTGCTTTCTTGTGTGGTTTTCTGCCAGGTAGTGTCCAGGCATGGGAAGTAAGGGGCTCTTGGCTGGGCCACATCGTGTCCATG